AATCCAACCAAATACATGTATTTGGTTCTTGATTTCCTGGTAACAAATTAAAACCTCTCAATAATTCGTGGTTTCTTTTAGGGGGATAAGAAGATGACTGACTACGCAGTAGAAAGCTCGAAGAAGAATCAAGACTTACCTGAGGAAAGCCATCTCTAGGAGAAGACAATGTTTTTTTTGGCTTTTACTTTGTCTAGATGTTAAATGGAAGCTCACTAATCAACAATCTGCCTTTCCTTTAATATATAACCTAAGCGTGATGTATTTATCTGGATGCTTAAAGTAAGCCATCTTCCTTCCTTAGTTCGATTGATTAGGTAAAAAAAAGCATTATCTCCCATATCAATTAGTTGTAACATCTGCTCCCTAATTTTTTTCCCACCGAGGACCCTGATGATTCTTTTGCGACCTTTGCACTTCACTTACTTGTAAGCCTCGTAAAAAGTATGAAACAAGACCCTTTCTTAAGCGATACAGAGGGCGTCGTGTACTAATAAATGAGGCAGATCCAAAACTCAATGCAGACAAGTTTAAAATACATCTACGCCCATTCCTTGTGTTCTTTTTGTTTTGGTGCAAAGCCCCTTCTCGAGATTGAGAAGCACTAATTTGTAGAAACATGAAGAGAGACATACCGTATGCTATCACATTTAGATATTTGCTGAGTTTAACGACATCTAAAAGATGTACCTAATACATGTAGTGATTGCATATCGTTATGGATCATTAGATAGTGACATTTACATTAAAATTCTACAAAGATTAAAGATCCTAGAAATGCCAAAAGCATCTAAATAAATATGTTCGCTCAAATTACAACGACCACTTTACATATTAAAGCAATCCAGGTATATATGGTATAATCGATTAAGCAAATACTTGTTGAGTAAAATGATACAGCATTTCTAAAATGGAATATTTGTGCATCAATTAAATTACACCAAAAAGTGTTCAAACATTTTTCAATGGAAAAAAACAACTCCTTTGACTATTCCAATGGTCAATTGATCCCTTGATATTAGCAAGAATCCATTTCGACATTGTGAAGATAACAAAGAAATATTAGGTCCAAAAGTACCTTATATGAGCGCAGTCGACGCATTCATGTACCTTGCAAATTGTACTCGACCAAATATAGCTTTTGCTACTAATCTGCTGATAAGATACAGATCATCGCCTACGCGTCGACATTGGACCGACATAACATATTTTTTGCTATCTTTAAAATACAATCGAGATGGGTTATTCTATCAAAGAAAACCTGAGTATGGTCTACTTGGTTTTGCAATCGGTTTACTAGGGGGTTAATAGGTGCCGTCTAGAACTCACAACATGGATGTAAGATTTTTCCTGAAACAACCAATATTTTGTTTTTTAATAATTCTTAAACAATTCTAGCGGAAGTCTGAAAATAAATTAAATAAATAATCCAGTCAAATGACATTATTCAGCGGAAGCAAATAATGGAATTAAATAAATAATTCTAACAACCTATACAAGTTCAAATAAATAATGCAAAACAATAAAATTCTATCATCACCTCTTCAGCTTTGATTCCGCAATCGAATGGAGTTGCAAAAGTATTTAATAAATACTTAGTGAGTCAATCACCCTGCCTACGGGCCAATTACGCAATTTATTAGCAATTAAATAATTATTATAAATTCCAATAAATATTAAAAAATACCAATTCTCTATTATTAAATAATTCTCCTAACTTAATAATAATTTTACATAAATAAAATAATTAATATAGTTATTTTAAACCAATTAATTAATTAAATTAACCATTAATTAATTAAATCCGAAATTAAACCAACCTAATTAAATCAAACCATTTTAATTCAATTAAATCAATTAACCAGAATCAAATCAATTTAAACCGCAACTAAATTCCAATCGAACTGTTGTGAGGCTTCCTTCAGGACAACAAGCCACCACCTTGCTTGAGCTCATGACCATCAGAGCGTTTCACAGTAAAATCCTGCGCCGCTTCAGCCTCGGTATTGCAGTTGGGTTCCGGATCAGCCGTGGCGTTCTGACGAATGTTCCGGCTATATTTATCTTTGTTGCTAGGAAAGTCCATAGGCAGTGGCTTAATCTAATGCAATGCCTTCCTTCCGCTCTCGAGGTTGTGTTATCTTGTATCCATTTCATTCCATTCCACACATAGCCTTACTTTCAGGAATTTGATCAGAGCATATATATGTATACGTTTCATTAACAGGGTCCTGGAGGGATATGGTGCGATGTAGACGTTGTGGAGTTTCAATATTATGGTTCTCCTGTTGCAACGCCAAAGGAACAGGTTTATAACGAACTTGTAGATGGCTTGAGAGGCAGTGATCCCTGCATTGGCTCTGGCTCTCAGGTATGTCTTCTTCTTTTCATTCTCCGTCTTCTGCAAACCGTTACCGTAAAGTCTCAGTTTGTTTGTTATGTATTGTGTGGAGGTTGCAAGCCAAGAAACGTATGGAACCTTGGGAGCCATAGTGAAAAGCAGAACAGGTAACCATGAGGTTGGTTTCCTTACGAACCGGCATGTCGCTGTTGATTTGGATTATCCAAGCCAGAAAATGTTTCATCCTCTGCCTTCAGGCCTTGGACATGGTGTCTACCTCGGTGCTGTTGAGAGAGTAACCTCATTTATCACTGATGACCAGTGGTACGGCATATTCGCTGGCACTAATCCAGGCTACTCAGAGCCTTCAACTTCATTGCAAATCTCTATCTTATTTCATATACTGACTATGTTCAGGTCATCTGCATAAACATTTGTGAGAGCGGATGGTGCCTTTATTCCTTTTGTAGAAGATTTCAACACGAGCAATGTAACCACGGTGATAAAGGGCATTGGCGAGATAGGGAATGTTCACGTTATAGACTTGCAGTCCTCAATCGATAGTCTTCTTGGGAAACAAGTTGCCGAAGTTGGGAGGAGCTCTGGATATACAAGGGGAACCATAATGGCTTACGCTTTGGAATGCAACGACGAGAAAGGGATCTATTTCCTCACGGACTTTCTCGTGATTGGTGAAAACCAGCAGACTTTTGACCTTGAAGGTGACAGCGGAAGCCTTTTTCTCTTAAGGAGTCCAAATGGTCAGAAGCCACGACCGGTTGGGATCATTTGGGGCGGAACAGCTAACCGAGGAAGGCTGAAACTAGTAGGCGGGCAAGAGCCAGAGAACTAGACAAGTGGAGTCGCTCTTGGTCGTCTTTTGGATCTCTTGGAGCTCGATCTCATCACCTCAAACCATGAACTTGAAGGTTTATCACAACTCTTTTCTTTACCTTTTCCGTGTTTAATTAGAATTGTTACCAGCTTTTGGCGGTTGTATTCTTTGCAGCAGCAGCGCGAGAACAGAGGAACACCTCGGTTACGGCGTTTGATTTAACCGTTAGCCAATTGTCTCTGCCAGACCCGGTTCCATTGGGAGACAGACAAGATGAGAGCTCTGAGCTATTTATACCGCCTGAGTTTCATATAGAAGAAGCTATCAAACCAACACTTGGAGTAGAGGAACATCTCTTTATTGCTCCTTCATCCTTTAACGAGTCTACTTCTGCATCTTCTGCTATTAAAGGGCAAGTGAAACCCGAATTTAATGATCTTGTCGCTTTAAAGAACAGTTCCGAAGAAGAGGTTAATGTATCGTTGAACGAAAAAGATTCTCATTTGCCACAAATCAGCGAACCGGTTGCCAAAATGCCACAACTTAAAAAATAATTTCTTTTCCATTTTCTTTTAAATCAATAAACAAGTAAAAGACATTAAAACCAAAGCAAAGTTGAAGTATTTACAAATCCAACCAGGGTATTACACGAAAACTGCAAACTCGACCCAGTTTAATCAGATTTTAACCTAAAAAATCCCTAAATTAACTGTATCGCCGTTTTTTATTTTGCAAGTAAAAATTTTAAATCACAATTCGAAAACGAAAAAAGAATCTCGTAACAGGAAGGAGCAAGTGAAGAACTAGAGTGAATCTTGCAATGATGGTGTTGAGAAGCAACAAAGTAACGATGGAACCGCCGACAGAAGCGGCAGAACCATCGAAGTCGATAGAAGCGGCGGCGGAACCGTCGAACTCGACAGAAGGGGCGGTTCCAAAACCGACAAAGCCGACAAAAGAACTGTCGAATCCGACAAAAGCGGGGGAACTGTCGAAGCCTTCAGAAACGGCGGAACCGACCGACAAATATCCGCCGACATAGGAGACGGAGGTGACAGGAGAGGCGGAAACCGGAGAAGCAAATCCCAAAGAAAAAGAAGCCCAAACTGAGGAGAAGATAAGCTCAGAAGGAGTTGAATCGGAAAACAAAGATGAATCAGAAAAAGAAGAAGAGCACGAAGAAGAAAAAGAGGAAGAGGAGAAGGAAATGGTATCAGACGAGGAATGGCGTGGTGACAAACTGGATAATAAGGTATTATATTGAATCTTGTTTATTATGATTAATCTGATTCTGAGTTTGATAATGGAGATTGATTGATTATGTAGTATCTATGGGATTAATTTTCGACTAAGTTCAACTAAGTTCAACTATGTAGCATCTTTGGGATTAATTTTTGACTAAGTTCAACGACGTTCGAGTATTTAACAGTTGATTGTTATTCAGGGGTGGACCCACGTAGACGTTGGGTGTGGCACGTGCCCCATGCTTTTTTTTTTCTTAATTTTAAAATATTCTTTAGTTATAGCTAAAAAGTGCAATATGTGCCCCACCCCCAGAGGCCAAGAGCCCATTTAATAATAAAAATGTTCAGCCCAACTATTTTTTTTTTTTTTTTTCAACAGCCTCTATTTCTAAAACAGTTCATGAATCTAAGCTGGTGAAACAGAATTTACATAATATACATCAGTAGGTAGAGCTCGAGCACTTCGTGCTAACTTTTCTGCCTTCGTGTTGTTCGTCCTAGGTGTGTGCACGATGGAAATAGAAGTAAAACTCCTCTTTCACCGATCAACCTCGTCTAAAAGTATTGCGAACGCTGGCCACTACTCTGGTTTAGACACCATCTTCACCACATTGGAACAGTCCGTCTCGAATACCATAATTAATTTGTTATGCCTTAACATGCATTGCATTGCCCAGATAAGGGCCTCCAACTCTGTCTGAAGCGGCGAGATCCCCCGCCGTAGATTAAAGGTACCCATCAACTTTTCCTGGGTATCCGTGTTAAAATAATACCATCCTAACCCAGCTCGACATTCTGTCTCCTTCCAAGCCCCATCCACTTGACAAATGTCTCTTGTGCGAGGTGTTTCCCCTTGTATCACCTCGTGTGGGTTTCCCAGCACTTGTCTTTCCTGTGCTGTTGCCCATGCTGTAGAATCTAGCCTAAAACAAATTATTAGAATCTAGCCTAAAAAAAATAATTAGTGTAGACGGAATAAATAAACCCTATTTTATTTCTCTACTGTTCATCTCCTACGACTCGGTCGACTTTTTTCTTCCTATACTTTCTAATTTCACTACTTTTTAGAAGCAGCTAAATTTAATTAGTTAATTTTTTGGTGGTATTGAAATCATAATTCTCCACCTATTGATCAAGTAGTTGCAATTTGAAGACTACCTTACGCAATCAAATGAGTGACCAGTTTTTAAATGAAATTTTAGTTTTTCTTATTGAGAAAGATCTTTTTGATAATGTGACAAATGATATAGTGATTAAGGCTCCGAATGGAGAAAGCGGATCAAGCGTTGCGGATCGAGCGGATCAAGCGGATCAAAAGCGGATCTAGCGGATCTAGCGGATCAAGTGGTACAAGTGCGGATCTAGCGGTTTAAGAGGTTCTAGCGTTCCAAAAAATATATATGAATGGTGAAAGTGGATAATTAGCGGTTCAAAACACTGTTCATATATATAATAAGAAAATATTGCATATATATATTTTAAACAAAAATATAATTTTAAATATTATTTCAAATACAAAAAAGTCAAACAATAAAAAAAAATTATAATACAACACATTCTTAACATTTTTAATACAGATTATTTCGATTTGCCCATAACGATTTTGCAATATTATCTCTGATGTTCACCATAAGATCTCCCTAAGCTATATCTGTAGTTTATGTGTCACGTAAATCCC